TGTAACTCGTTATCCTCATTTCATTAAGAGATGTTACAGATACTGATGGCTGTAGGCAGGAAGGATCTCTTGTAAAGGTCCATCCCACAGTGGATCCTAAGAAACTGGTTGCAGATGCCGTCCGATCCGTCCACCCAGACTCGGCTGGCCTCTCGGTTCCCCCGGGCTGTAGGACCACCTGAATGCTGGGCAGAACTCCTCCCAGAGCGATGGCCACTCCTCCCAGCCCTCTGCCGAGCTCCTCGTCGCTGCAGACAGCCAGCTGTAGGTGCCGAGGGACGATCCTGTCCTTCCGCTGTCATGAGCCGTGTTTCCTGCTAGTTCAAGGATCTCAGTGGTCAGGCACTCGAGCACAGCTGGAGGGTAGATGAGAATGCATCCACAGAACATCCTTTTCAACTCATTTGAGATTTGGGGCTGTAGTTGAGATATTTGATCTTTTGAGACGTTAATCAGCTGCTGTGGAGAAAACTGCCTTGTTGCCTTGATTACGCATCATAACAAATGTCCAAAACTAAAAAAGTTTCAGTAAAAATCCTTCCAGCTGCACAGCATCTGATACCAGAGGAAACAATCATCCAAAAAATGCGATTTACATCCAGAAAAAGAGGAACTAAAGTTTCCAAAAGCAAAATCTCATAATGAAAGCTTTATTGTTACGCCTGTATTTTTGCTTGCGTAACATTATTTTAAAACACTGCTGACATGGATATATTGAACATTGTCTTGCATAGACATTTTTTTCTAACAAATATATGTTTGCAGTCTCGTTTCCCTCTAAAATTTTAATGATAAATGTATCTGCCGCAAAGTCCTTGGTTCAAACCCCGGTCCAGGGGCCTTTCTGGGTGGAGTTTGCATGTTCTCTCCGTGCATGCATGGGTTTTCTCCGGGTGCTCCGGTTTCCTCCCACAGACCAAAAACATGCATGTTAGGCTGATTGGTAACTCTAAATTGTCCCTAGGTGTGAGAGAGAGAGTGAATGGTTGTTTGTCTCGCTTGTCTCTATGTGGCCCTGTGATGGACTGGAGACCCGTCCAGGGTGTACCCCTCCCCTCACACAGTGATTGCTGAACATGGGCACCAGCGACCCCCGTGACCCAAAATGGAAGAAGCGGGTTAAGATAAAGGATGGATGGATGTATCTGCCGCATCTAAAAATGCTTTGATAAAATGCATAGTCAGTGAAATAATCAGTAATCAGTTCATTACTGCTCAATAATCACCAAAAGTCATCGGAGCAAAGTAAGAAAAATTTATTTTTGTGTTATGTCGCACCAGTAGCCGCTCAAACTGACTGACAGCGATGAGATGTTTGGAACTATTGAGAGCTGCATGAACCACGTGACCGCATATTGGCTAGTTCAGGCATGGGAAACCCCGGCCCACGGGCCATATACGGCCCGTTGGGCTTTTTAATTGGCCCGCCGAAATTGTCCAAAATTGGGACAATTAAAAAAAAAATATAAAAAAAAAATATATATATATATATATATATTTTTTTAATATACTTTATTTTTCAGGGGTGCTGAGGAAAAATATAGGGTGTTTAACCACTCCCAAATAGAGGTTAAAATTGCCACTGGTTCAAATTATATTTAAAAAAACTGAATTTAATAGGAGAAAAAAAACTGCTGTCATTTTACCTGTAGTTCCAGAATTTCCCCAGTAGAGGCGCACTAAAGACACTGGCGTGTATTACAGGCAAGTGGAGAAGAAGTAATTTCTTCTTCTACGCTTTTATTTTTTACTTTGCCCTACAAACTTGTCTGTAAAATGCATCACACTGTGTTGGTCATGTTGCAGTTGTTGTTGTTATCCATTACTGTTTTTGTTGGTTTCTACTTTTTGGTGTCCTGTTATGTAATCTGTTGCTATGTGCTTGTTCTGTTTGTCCCTGTACAGCACTTTGGAGTGCTTTGTCACTGTTTAAAGTGCTATATAAATAAATTGGTATGGTATGGTATGGTATGGTAAAAACGTGTTTATCAAAGAAAAGAAAAGTGTACAGTGAGTGCTGAGTGTTTAAAATGGGATGGACAACAACAAGTTTCACTGAGGTCCAATGAAAATGCAGATTTTATGACAAGAAACTGTTGCGGTTTTCAAAGAATACACTTTGCTAACTGCTAACTATGCTAACAAGCCTTTCTCCAATGGCAATATTTAAAAATAAACATGGTAAAAACAGAGCAGGTCTATTGTGTCCGGAGGGCCAAGATAAGTTAGAAAAAAATCAGTTTATCACGCAGGAGGACTGTGACTCTCCTTGTGGAACTGATTGATGAAGATTTAATCAATCAATCAATCAAACTTTATTTATAGAGCCCTTTCCAGCAGCCAAAAGGTGAACAAAGTGCTGCACAATACAGAAGTTAAAAACAAACAATAATTAAAAATCAGCCAGTTAAAAACAAAAACATTTAAAACATAGCAAGATTATCAAAGACCTACTAGGTATTAAAAGCCTGTCTGAATAAAAAGGTTTTAAGATTAGATTTAAAATGCTCCATGTCAGTGATGGAGTGCAAGTCCTGAGGTAGCTGGTTCCAGAGTCTGGGTGCAATGACCTGAAAAGGCCCGGTCACCCCATCGTTTGTAGTTGGACTTTGGGACAGAGAGTAGAAATGTATTAGATGATTTCAGTGTTCTCCTATATTCACAGACAGCTACAAGATCAGTCAAATATAGTGGGGCAAGACCATTGAGAGCTTTAAACGTGAATAATAAAATTTTAAATTTAATTCTAAAATCGACTGGAAGCCAGTGGAGAGAAAATAAAACAGGGGTGATGTGCTCACGTCTGGAGGTGTTGGTTAAAAGTCAACCTGCAGCATTTTGGACCAATTGCAGGCGTCTAATGGAGGATTGGGAGATTCCTGCATATAGGGAATTGCAGTAGTCGAGCCTTGAAGTTATAAAAGCATGAATGGCCTTTTCCAAGTCAGAACGATAAAAAAAAAAAGGCTTAACTTTGGATAAAAGATGTAACTGATTAAAACAGGCCTCGACTACAGAGGATATTTGTTTATCAAACTTTAAGTCCTTGTCAAATGTCACCCCCAAGTTTTTAACTGTGGGTCTGAACTTGGATGTCAGAGCACCAAAGTTACAAGGAGCATCATCACCGAAGAAGATGCATTCTGTCTTTCCTTCATTTAAAAACAAAAAATTAAGATGAAGCCACTGTTTAATGTCGGCAATACAATCAGCGAAAGGTGTGAGAAGGTTACTGTTTTTAGGTTTCATTGGTAAATAAATTTGTACATCATCAGCATAACAGTGAAAAGAAAAATTATGTTTGGCTATCACTGATCCAAAGGGCAGCATGTACAATGAGAAGAGGACAGGACCAAGAATAGAACCCTGTGGCACACCACAAGAGAGAGGGGCAGTGGAGGAAGACAGATTATCCAGCATGACAGAGAACAATCTGTTAGTCAAATAAGCAGTGAACCACTTGAGTGCTGTACCAGAAATTCCAACATAATGTTGAAGACGAGACAACAGGACAGCGTGGTCCACTGTGTCAAACGCAGCTGTAAGGTCCAGCAGCACCAGAACAACGGGACACTTGACATCCATGGACATGGAAATGTCATTATGGACTTTTAACAGGGCTGATTCGGTAGAATGACGGGTTCTAAATCCAGAATGAAATGTTTCATAAATACCATGGTTTTCTAAAACAGGTTGTAACTGCATAAAAACAACTTTTTCTAAGACTTTGGCTAAAAAAGGCAGATGAGAAATAGGTCTGAAATTTGATAAAAGTGATGGGTCTAGGTGAGGTTTTTTTAAGAAGGGGCCTAATCACAGCATGTTTAAATGCAGCAGGGACAATTCTTAGACGAAGGCATTTAGCAAAATAAGCTAAAAGGCAGAGAGAGTCCTTTAAGTTACGGTTTACTGGATGAAAGTAATAAAGGACACTGCTCATCTCTTATTTTTTATCTGCGGGATTAACAACAGTTTTGAGATAATGGAGGTGTTTTTGACCCTGGAGTCTCTGAAAGGAAAAACATGGAGAGGATTTTTACTTTTTTTCTACCGTCATGAGAGAATGAAGCTTCTGTGGAGTAAAGTTGACAATGTCACAACAGAAAGATCACCAGATTTAAGAGGAAAACATGTCGGGCTGCTGAAAAGAATCCAGGATAAAGTGAAATAAAAAAACGTGTGAATTATTGTGCAGGTGCTCTGTTGCACAGAGGAGCTGCAGGAGGAGGACGTCTGCTTCCATTCGCAACCTGCCACAGCTGACCTGTCATCAACTTTAGATCCTGTAGTTGTAAAAAGTTTTGTGAGGAGTTTGTAGAGGTGAGCTGACACTTTATTTAGACTTTTCTCATGTATTCCATGAGCACAGTGAGGTAAGAGACTTGTGGTTTGGTTCATGTGATTTTTCTTCAGGTAAGAGAAAATACAGTGGTTTGTTTTGTTTGTTGTTTGGGCCTGAAGTTGGTAAAACTCCACAAAGTCAATCATTTCACTATTTTAAATAAAATCACTGTTCTGTCATATAATCTGACTTAGTGGCTGCTTGAGTGGAGCAGAAGGTGGAATCGCCCATAATAAATAGCGTCCCAGCGGCTGTTATTGCGCTGGGGTGTGACATCACACAAACACTCCATCCATCTGTTCCAGACCCGGCCCTTCGCTCCAAATTTAGAACTCAGTGTGGCCCGCGAGTCTGAAAGTTTGCCCACCCCTGGGCTAGTTCAAAGATTGTCACAACTCTCTCTCTCTATGGTGCTGGTCCTGCCTACAAAATCCCCCCGCCACTCTCCATCGTCAGACAGCTCTGCTACTTCCCAATGGGGAGCAGAAATTGTAGCAGCTCAGACCTAACATTACTACCGCAATGATTCACTCACGTTTCCTTTGTGCCCCAAAAATAATCTGATTTTATTTTCTAAAAAAAAAAAAAAAAAAACCAGTACTGTGAGACATGTGTAACTAGAAAGTTTGAGAAAAGAGCATATAATTGTTTGACTGACCATCTAGTCTTGGTCCTCCACCATAGCGTTCATATAACAGGTTTGCAGCTTGCAAAGAAACCCTTTTGACCTCTCCTATCTTGTCTGGGTGCAGTTTTCCATGGGAACACAGGAAAAGAGTGTTGTCAATTTTCTTTGTAGCAGTGGAGTCATCAAGCCATTTCTTCAACCAGTCTAGGGGGATAAACTCATAATGCTCTCCTGCTGAGGGAAAGAAGACAACCATAAAAAAAGACCATATTCTGTTCTGATGCATGCTCAATAATCCAGGTAGAAAAATCTAAAAAAGTAAATCTGGTCCTCTGGACATTCAAAAAAACAAAACAAAGCAAAACAACAAAAAAAATGTAGAAACGTTTCGTCTCTCATCCAAGAGACTTCCTCAGTCTGAGGTGCTGTATTCAGCTCAGTCTCTTAAATAGCACCTTCTTAGAGTGGATCAACCAGTTTGCTGCTGACAACCAGAACCAGCTGCTCACATGGTCAAGAAGGACCATCAGCCTAACAATGGATCATTAGCACACTGATGGCTGTTTACTGTTCACAGAGGGCTGAGTGATACTAGCAATCACAGCATTGTAAGAGGGGGACAGTTGAACCCGGAGGCTCCACCCCTGTTTAATGATGGACGGTTTCTTTTCACAAAGATGGCCTCCTTTACTCCTCTCTCAAACCATCGTTCCTCTCTGTCCAGGATGTGAACATCTTCATTCCTGAAAGAGTGACCGCTGGCCTGGAGATGAGTGTAGACCTCAGAGTCCTGGCCTGATGATGTTGATCTTCTGTGCTGGTCCATCCTTTTGGCCAGTGGCTGTTTTGTTTCCCCGATGTAAGACTGATCACCCTCCTGACACTGAACAACATACACAATATTACTCTGTTTGTGCCGGGGGACTGGATCTTTGGGATGAACCAGTCTTTAATGTATTTTGGGGTTTAAAAGCCACTGGGACGTTATGTTTAGAAAATAAACGTCTCAGTTTCTCTGATACTCCCTGAACATACGGAATGACCACTGGTCTGGGTCTGGGTTCCTCCTTTTCACCTGTTGGCTGACTGGAGTCCTGTTTGGGTTTCTTCTCTGCTTTCAGGAAGGCCCAGTTAGGATATCCACATTGCTCTAGAGCCTGTTTTGTGTAGGATTTCTCCTTCTGCCTGGCTCCTGAGCTAGTGGGGACGCTGTCTGCTCTGTGGTACAGAGTCCTGATGACTCCTAACTTGTGCTCCAAAGGGTGATGGGAGTCAAACTGCAAATACTGGTCTGTGTGGGTGGGTTTGCGGTACACCTCAGTTTGCAAATGTCCTCTATCCGAGACTGAGACCTCACAGTCCAAGAAAGCCAACTTGCCATTTTTTTCATCTTCTTGTGTGAACTTGATGTATTTATCCACAGAGTTGATGTGGTCAGTAAAATGTTGGACTTCCTGAGATTTAATTTTAACCCAAGTGTCGTCAAATTAAACAGTGGCTTTTAAACTCCAAAATACATTAAAGACTGGTTCATCCCAAAGATCCAGTCCCCCGGCACAAACAGAGTAATATTGTGTATGCTGTTCAGTGTCAGGAGGGCTGTGATCAGTCTTACATCGGGGAAACAAAACAGCCACTGGCCAAAAGGATGGCCCAGCACAGAAGATCAACATCATCAGGCCAGGACTCTGTGGTCTACACTCATCTCCAGGCCAGCGGTCACTCTTTCAAGGATGAAGATGTTCACATCCTGGACAGAGAGGAACGATGGTTTGAGAGGGGAGTAAAGGAGGCCATCTTTGTGAAAAGAAACCGTCCATCATTAAACAGGGGTGGAGGCCTCCGGGTTCAACTGTCCCCCTCTTACAATGCTGTGATTGCTAGTATCACTCAACCCTCTGTGAATAGTAAACAGCCATCAGTGTGCTAATGATCCATTGTTAGGCTGATGGTCCTTCTTGACCATGTGATCAGCTGGTTCTGGTTGTCAGCAGCAAAACTGGTTGATCCACTCTGAGAAGGTGCTATTTAAGAGACTGAGCTGAATACAGCACCTCAAGACTGAGGAAGTCTCTCAGATAAGAGACGAAATGTTTTTACATTTTTTTGTTGTTTTGCTTTGTTTTGTTTTTTTGAATGTCCAGAGGACCAGATTTACTTTTTTAGACCATATTCTGATGTTACAAGAACTTTATACATTATTCTAGCATATCAATGTAAGGCCATGTCATACACAACACACCAGATGGTATATATTTCTACAGTGAGGAAAATAAGTATTTGAACACGTGTCAAAATCAATGTTAATAGTTGGTACAATAGTCTTTGTTTGCAGTTACAAAGGTCAAACATTTCCTGTAGTTTTTCACCAGGTTTGCACACACTGCAGCAGGATTTTGGTCCATTCCTCCACATAGATCTTCTCTAGATCAGCCAGGTTTCTGGACTGTCGCTGAGAAACACGAAGTTTGAGCTCCCTCCAAAGATTTTCTATAGGGTTTAAGTCTGGAGACTGGCTAGGCCACTCCAGAACCTTGACATGCTTCATACAGAGCCACTATTTGGTTCTCCTGGCTGTGTGCTTCGGGTCATTGTCATGTTGGAAGACCCAGCCATGACCCATCTCTAATGTTGTAACTGAGGGAAGGAGGTTGTTCCCCAAAATCTCGCAATACATGGCCCCGGTCATCGTCTCCTTAATACAGTGCAGCCATCCTGTCCCATGTGCAGAAAAACACCCTCAAAGCATGATGCTTCCACCCCCATGCTTCACAGTAAGGATGGTGTTTTTGGGATGGTACTCATCATTCTTCGTCCTCCAAACACAGTGAGTGGAATTAAGACCAAAAAGTTCTATTTTGGTCTCATCTGACCACATAACTTTCTCCCATGACTCCTCTGGATCATCCAAAAGGTCATGGGCAAACTTAAGATGTGCCTAGACGTGTGCTGATTTAAGCAGGGGAACCTTCCATGCCATGCATGATTTTTAACTATGACGTCTTAGTGTAGAATTAGGTTACCCACAGTAACCTTGGAAACAGTGGTCCCAGCTCTCTTCAGGTCATTGACCAGCTCTTCCCATGTAGTTCTGGGCTGATTCCTCACCTTTCTTAGGATCATTGATATGCCACAAGGTGAGATCTTGCATGGAGCCCCAGTCCGAGGGAGATTGACAGTCATGTTTAATTTATTCCATTTTCTAATAATTGCTCCAACAGTTGATCTTTTTTCACCAAGCTGCTTGGCAACTGCCCCGTAGCTCTTTCCAGCCTTGTGGAGGTCTACAACTTTGTCTCTGGTGTCTTTGGACAGCTCTTTGGTCTTAGCCATGTTAGTAGTTGGAGTCTTATGGATTGTGTGGGGTGGACAGGTGTCTTTATGCAGATAACGACCTCAAACAGGTGCTTCGAATTTACAATATTAATTGGAGTGGAGGTGGACTTTTTAGAGGAGGACTAACAGGTCTTTGAGGGCCAGAACTGTTGCTGATTGGCAAGTGTTCAAATACTTATTTGCAACAGTAACACAAAAATTATTAACAAATCATACATTGTGATTTCTGGATTTTTTTTTTAGATTATGTCTCTCACAATGGACATGCACCTAAGATGAAAATTTCAGACCCCTCCATGATTCCTAAGTGGGAGAACTTGCAAAGTCGCAGGGTGTTCAATAACTTATTTTCCTCACTGTAAATATACACACACCAATATACATACATACAAACCGGATTCCAAAAAAGTTGGGACACTAAATAAATTGTGAGTAAAAACTGAATGCAATGATGTGGAGCTGCCAACATCTAATATTTTATTCAGAATAGAACACAAATCACAAATCAAAAGTTTAAACTGAGAGAATGTATAATTTTAAGGGAAAAATCTGTTGTTTCCAAATTTCATGGCGTCAACAAATCCCAAAAAAGTTGGGACAAGTCCATTTTTACCACTGTGTGGCATCCCCCCTTCTTCCAACACTCAACAGACGTCTGGGGACAGAGGAGACCAGTTTCTCAAGTTTAGAAATAGGAATGCTCTCCCATTCATGTCTAATACAGGCCTCTAACTGTTCAATCGTCTTGGGCCTTCTTTGTCGCACCTTCCTCTTTATGATGCACCAAATGTTCTCTATAGGTGAAAGATCTGGACTGCAGGCTGGCCATTTCAGTACCCGGATCCTTCTCCTACGTAGCCATGATGTTGTGATTGCTGCAGAATGTGGGCTGGCATTATCGTGTTGAAAAATGCAGGGTCTTCCCTGAAAGAGATGACGTCTAGATGAGAGCACATGTTCTGGAACCTGAACATAGTTCTCTGCATTAATGGTGCCTTTCCAGACATGCAAGCTGCCCATGCCACAAGTGCTCATGCAACCCCATACCATCAGTGATGCAGACTTCTGAACGGAGCGTTGATAACAACTTGGGCTATCCTTGTCCTCTCTGGTCCGGATGACATGGCGTCCCTGTGTTCCATAAAGAACTTCAAATGGTGACTCATCTGACCACAGAACAGTCTTCCATTTTGCCACACTCCATTTTAAATGACCCCTGGCCCAGTGCAAACGTCTGAGCTTGTGGAGCTTGCTTAGAAATGGCTTCTTCTTTGCACCGTAGAGTTTCAGCTGGCAACGGCGAATGGCACAGTGGATTGTGTTCACTGACAATACTTTCTGGAAGTATTCCTGAGCCCATTCTGTTATTTCCTTGACAGTGTCATTCCTGTTTGAGGTGCAGTGACGTTTAAGGGCCCGGAGATCACGAGCATCCAGTAGAGTTTTACGGCCTTGACCCTTACGCACAGCGATTGTTCCAGATTCTCTGAATCTTTTGATGATGTTATGCACGGTTGATGATGATAACTTAAAAGTCTTTGCTATTTTACGCTGGGTAACACCATTCTGGTATTGCTGCACTATCTTTCTGTGCAACAATGGTGGAATTGGTGATCCTCTTACCATCTTGGCTTCTGAGAGACACTGACACTCTGAGAAGCTCTTTTTATACCCAATCATGTTGTCAATTGACCTAATTAGTGTTAATTGGTCTTCCAGCTGTTTGTTATATGCTCAATTTCCTTTTTCCAGACACTTATTGCTACTTGTCCCAACTTTTTTGGGATTTGTTGACACTGTGAAATTTTGAATCAACATATTTTTCCTTTAAAATGTTACATTTACTCAGATTAAACTTTTGATCTGTCATCTATGTTATATTACGAATAAAATATTGACATTTGCCATCTCCACATCATTGCATTTTTATTCACAATTTGTTTAGTGTCCCAACTTTTTTGGAATCTGGTTTGTAAATACAGACATACAAGTTTTTGTTTTATTAGTATTTGTCTAAACAAACACAATCTGACTTTGTTTCTTATAACATTAAACAAAATAGAAGTCCAGTTGTTTGTTTTATTAAGCGTGAAGGATAGGATACAAAAAGCGTTCAATACAAAAATAGATAGGATAAATTATTTTATTTATGGTATTCTGACTGCATTTTATGATGTGTACGGTAATGGGCAAAAGCAGCACACAAACATGTTACATTAACTACGAGTCAATAAAAAGTGTTTCACTAACCATCTTCTGCAGGTAAAAGCTTGTAGAGCTCTTTCACCTCTTCATGCTTGGCTTTGCCTTTATCCACACTCTGTTTTCTCATATTTGCCATCTCTGTGCACCACTCTTCGAATTTATGGTTGTCCTGGTCAACCAGCCTCTGAAGAAAAGCTAGAAGCAAACAAAAACACACAAAAAACTAATCATTTAAGCGAAACCCTCGGATAGCAAAAAATTTAAAAAGGCAATGCCATTAATTTTGGGGTCAAATCTAGTTTCAAGACATACCGGTTCAAAACAAAAAAGGAAAAACGGCAAATTAACACTCCCTCATTGATAAATGTAATAAAAAGAGTGCATTATTTCTTTTGAATTTTGTAAAGTTTGAGTTTGTTTTTTTAATAAAATTTGAACTGAGAATAGGTCAAAGGGATGACATTTACCATTGTTCAGTTTGTCTGAATGACTTCTACTACCTGTAGTCTTATGGTAGCTTTGGAGGAGAGGCTGTCTGAACTGGAAGCTCAGCTATGCACTGTAGAAAAACCAGTAGCTAGCCAGGTCCCCTTAGACAGCACAGAACCACAGAGACTAGCTCCCGTTAGCGGTCCTCCAGTAGACCCCAAACAGCAGGGACCCCAGGCCGGCTGGATGACGGTCCGGAGCAAGCGTAGTGCTAAGTCTAAGCCCCCAGTTCACCACCAACCCGTTCACGTTTCTAATTGATTTTCCTCGCTCAGTGACACGCCCGCTGAGAAGCAGACCCTGGTTACTGGAAGCTCCATAGTCCAAAACGTGGCTTTAGGGACTCCAGCGACCATAGTCAAATGCATTGCGGGGGCCAGAGCGGGCGACATAGAATCTTATCTGAAACTGCTGACTAAGGCTAAGGCTAAATACAGTAAGATTGTTATTCAGGTCGGCGGTAATGACACCCGGTTACGCCAATCGGAAGTCATTAAAATTAATGTTGCTTAGGTGTGTGACTTTGCTAAAACCATGTCAGACTCCGTAGTTTTCTCCGGCCCCCTCCCCAACCTGGCCAGCGATGACATGTTTAGCCGTATGTCGTGGTTTAACCACTGGGTGTCCAGGTGGTGTTCTGACAACGACGTGGGCTACATAGATAACTGGAGTTCTTTCTGGGGAAAACCTGGTCTGATGCAGAAAGATGGCATCCACCCCACTTTGGACGGAGCCGCTCTTCTTTCTAGAAATATGGCTGATTTTGTTTATCCCCCAAATTATTGACAACCCAGGGTCCAGTCCAGGAAGCAGAGTTGTAGTCCTCCACACCTCTCTGCTGCTTCTCCTCTGTTACCCACCCACACCCACATTGAAACAGTGTCAATTCGCCCACGGCTCAAATTAAATAAACAAAAAATCAGCTCTAAAAATATAAACCATAAAAATCTGATTAAAATAAACACAGTTACTTTACCAGAGCAAAATCATAAAATCATTAAATGTGGATTATTGAACATCAGATCTCTTTCCTCTAAATCCCTGTTAGTTAATGAACTGATAACTGATCATCATATTGATTTATTGTGTCTGACAGAAACTTGGCTACAACAGGAGGATTTTGTTGGTATAAATGAATCCACTCCTGTTAATTATTTAAATGTTCATGATCCTAGAACAACTGGCCGAGGTGGAGGAGTAGCTTCTATTTTTCAGTCAGGATTATTGATTAATGCCAAACCAGTTATTAGTTATGATTCTTTTGAATCGCTGTCCCTCAGTCTTTCTCATCCAAAATGGAAATCAGAAAAGCCACTTTTACTAGTTGTTATATATCGTCCACCTGGAGCTTACTCTCAGTTTTTGTCTGAATTCTCAGAATTATTAACTGACTTATTATTAAATACTGATAAAATCATCATAATGGGTGATTTCAATATTCATGTTGTTAAGATATTTTTGGACTGGGCCTATGATTTTGATCTGCTCAGAGATGGGATTATAACGAAATTATGACCCGGTTCTGACTCGGTTAAACTGGGCCAGCAAACTCTTAAGAGAGTCTCCCTGGGATTTCAATATCAATCAAGAAATAGTTTAATCTCCTTGCCACATCACGTAGAAAGGCTTTTGAAACACCGTCTCATATTTCCTAACACGTCAGTCCACATAAGATCCATTGAGATCACACTTAGTCATGCCCCCTCATGCAATGACAGGTTGAGCTCTCCTTCTGTGAAGGCAGAGTCTAGGACCCTATAAATGAGTAATGACACAGGACATCGGGGCTCTTCCGGGTCTGTGAACGCATCACAGACTGGAGAGTCCAGTGCTGTAAAATTGTAATCTTTTCCTGCCTTTTCTAATATACTGTAATTGATAAAACTTAATTGACGTTTCCTTGATTTATTGATTAGTATAGTTGCCACTTATGAGGGAGGTTCGAGACAGGGGGAAAAATGTGGGGTGGAGGGGGTTTCGGGGTCCAGTGGTCCGCAGCCAGCTCCTGTCTTTAACAATGTAGATGTTTAAAGTGATAGTTTAAGCATAGCCTTTAATAATTTAATAGACTCATTTGGTTTTACCCAAAACGTCTGCACATCTACTTATTCTTATCATCACACTCTTGATTTAGTTCTGACCTATGGTATAGAGAATAAGGACTTGGTAATAGTTCGTCAAAATCCTATTTTGTCTGACCATTTTTTAATAACCTTTGAGTTTACATTAAATGACTACACAGTCACTGAGAGTAAATTTCATCTCAGCAGGTGCTTATCAGAAAATGCTGTAACCAAAATTAAACAATCTCTTCCATCAATGTTTTCCTCTGTCTTGCAGAGTAATGCATCAGAGAACAGAGACTTAAATCATCTAGTTGATCATCTTACAACTTCAATGCAAACTTCACTTGATAAAATTGCTCCACTGAAAAAGAAAGTAATCAATCAAAGGAAACTGGCTCCTTGGTTCAATTCTGAGTTACATACTTTAAAGCAGGCATCTAGAAACCAGGGGAGAAAATGGCGCTCTACTAATGTTGAAGAATTTTATTTAACTTGGAAAGATAGTCTGCTAACATATAAAAAAAGCTCTCTGTAAAGCTAGAACTCTATATTACATCTACATTATCTACATCCAGAAGAATTTATCACCTCCTTTCAGTACACTTCTACAAAGATCTTGGACTCCATCGCTCCCTTAAGACAGACTTCTACAAAAATCAAGCCAGATCCCTGGCTTAATGGTACCACTCAGACTTTTAGACAATGTTGCAGGAAAGCAGAACGCAGATGGAAGAAAGACAGGCTTCATGTGTCCCAGGACATACTGAGAGACTATCTTTATGAATATCAAAAAGCTGTTAAGCAGGCCAAATCACAATATCTTTCCAATTTAATTTCTACCAGTTGTAACCGGCCAAGGGTTTTATTTAATACCATTCAGTCTGTCATTAATCCCTCCATCAATGTTCTGAAAACTGCTACACAGTCTACCTGTGATGGTTTTCTTGATTACTTTGTGAACAAAATAGACTCTATCAAGCAGAACACTGTCAGTACATATAATGCTGTTCAGTTATGTGCTCCCTCAATAACCTCTGCTGTGTTTGATCAGTTCCACCTGGTCTCACTACCTCACCTCGTTAAGGTGGTTCAGCAGATGAAACCTACAAACTGTACCCTGGACATCATTCCCTCTAAGATGTTCAAGCAGTCCTTGGATGTTATTGGTCCTTGTCTTCTGACATTTATTAATAGCTGTCTAAGTTCAGGTTATGTCCCGTCTGTTTTCAAACATGCTGTGGTCAGGCCTCTTCTTAAAAAACTGGGTTTAGATCCTACAGCTTTTTCTAATTTTAGGCCAATTTCACGCTTATCATTTTTATCCAAAGTTCTGGAAAAGGTTGTTTTCATTCAGTTGCAATCTTTTTTAGAACACAACAACTTGTTGAAAAATTTCAATCTGGCTTCAGACCCCGTCATAGCACTGAATCTGCACTACTCAAAGTACAGAATTATATTATTTTGTCCCTTGATACCAAAAAACCTGTTCTGCTGGTGATGTTGGACCTCTCAGCAGCTTTTGATACTGTAGACCATCAGGTCCTAATCACTCGTTTGGCTCAGCAGGTTGGCCTTAAGGGAGTTGTGCTAGAGTGGTTTAAGTCCTATTCAACAGACATAACTTTCTCTGTTATGATTGGTGATCTGTCCTCTTCTTCAGTCTCTTTGACCTCTGGTGTACCGCAGGGATCCATTCTGGGGCCTGTTCTCTTCTCACTTTACATGCTACCGATGGGACCCATCATTGCACGCCATAATCTGTCTTTTCATCTGTATGCAGATGATCTACAAATCTATCTGCCAGTCACTCCCAGTTCCTCACTCAGTTTCAACTCTGTTGCCAGCTGCTTAAATGACATTAAGCACTGGCTGTCTCAGAATTTTCTCCACCTAAATAACGATAAAACTGAATGGATTTTATTTGGATTGAGTTTGATCAACTGGTTGATCCACTCTGAGAAGGTGCTATTTAAGAGACTGAGCTGAATACAGCTCCTCAGACTGAGGAAGTCTCTCGGATGAGAGACGAAACGTTTCTACAATTTTTTGTTGATTTGCTTTGTTTTTTTTTGGTTTTTTTGAATGTCCAGAGGACCAGATTTAACTTTTTTAAAGTTCTCTAAACAAGCTATTAACCTAACCATCTGAATCAACGACATAACTCTAAACACCTGCAAAAGATTCCTGAGGCTTTTAAAAACTCCCAGCCTTGTTCATTACTCAAAACCGCAATCATGGGTAAGATTGCCGACCTGACTGCTGTCCAGAAGGCCATCACTGACACCCTCAAGCAAGAGGGTAAGACACAGAAAGAAATTGCTGAACGAATAGACTGTTCCCAGAGTGCTGTATCATGGCATCTCAGTGGGAAGTCTGTGGGAAGGGAAAAGTGTGGCAGAAAACGCTGCACAACGAGAAGAGGTGACCGGACCCTGAGGAGGATTGTGGAGAAGGGCCGATTCCAGACCTTGGGGGACTTGCGGAAGCAGTGGACTGAGTCTGGAGTAGAAACATCCAGAGCCACCGTGCACAGGCATGTGCAGGAAATGGGCTACAGGTGCCACATTCCCCAGGTCAAGCCACTTTTGAACCAGAAACAGCGGCAGAAGCGCCTGACCTGGGATACAGAGAAGCAGCACT